ACCTCTATCCCACCTTTTTTGCTCTGCCAAAACATTTATTTTATGTGCTAATCACAGGACTCTGATCAGTGATATAGATTCAAAGATTCAGGTCAGATCACAGCATTACAAGAAGAATGCCCACCTCCACCCCAGGCTCCACCTGCCCAGGTTATCATGGTGATCAACTGGCAGGTTGCCACTAGATCAACCATCAGGTCTCTAGAGAAAAAGCACACAGGCTCCCTTCCTCTCCTCTGTGGTAGAGTTTTCCACAGAAGCCAGGAGCCAGGATGATAGGCTTAGTTTTGCCCAAGGTCTTTGCAGGGGCTTTAGAGCTTAGAGGATGGATGGTTGAAAAAAATCTATGACATGGAAGAGAGCAATTGTCCATCCAAATTGGGGGAATGGCTTGCTGTGTACATCAAGTTCAAACACAAAGAGGGTCTTGCTTTCTGGGTAGTTAGCGAGGCTTCCTTCTCCCTCCCTGGACCTGGTCTGTGCTGGGCAGTGCCTGCTGTCATGAGCAGGCCTTTGGTGGCACAATCCTAGGGCATCAGGTGAAGTGGTAGAGAACGTGGCCAAGGTTTCTGCTTAGTCACACTCCTCTCAGTCTCATTTGTATCATGGGAAAGACAAAACCTAAAGCATGAAGCCCAGGAGATGAAAGTCCATCAAAAAAATAAAAATAAAAAGAGCCCATGAACTAGAGCTAAGTTAAGATAGCTATTAAGCTATTAGGGTGTGTGTGTGTGTATGTGTGTGCTTGTGAGAAGATACTTATTTTATTTGTCCCTTCTATGTAAGGTACTAGAATAAAAACCTTCTCTTTGCTCATTCTTCTCCTATACTGACAATCTTATGGATACACTCGTACATACTCCTCCAAATAAAACTGTCTTTCTTTAGGGCATCAATTAAACAGAACCTTGTAGGGTCTCCTATTCGATATCTTTTTTTGGTACTAGGAATCAACCTCAGAGCCTTGCGCTTGCCAGGCAGGCACTGTGCTACTGTGCTCCAGCCCCAGCCCCTTCTATTTGATATCTTATTTCCCTCAAAAGATCCAGCAAAAGAGTCTCAGATATGCCTGCTGCAGCATGGGAGTGCAAAGCAGCTTGCAGCTTCCTCCTCCTGCACTGCTGCTCCTGCAGTGGCCCTCCCAGGAGCTGTGGAAGAGAAGAGGGTGAGTCAGCCTGCGAGCAGAAAGCAGAATGAGGGTTCATCCTGAGGTCAGTCTAGGCCCAAAGTGATGGGGAAGGGACAGCTGTGGCTCGCTAATTTCCCAGGAAAAAATCCTACAGGCAAGACAAAATGGTGGCACCTTTGGAAATGGTCTTATGTGACTCCATCCTCCACTCCTTGTCTCTCTGTGGCATTGTGAATCTCCTCCACCCCCGCCAGAGTCCAGCAAAATGGCACACAAGAAATCAATCATTCCCAGCTTTGCACAAATTTAAGCCAATGTATTGTCTCTCTTGGGGTCATTTGCATTGCAGGCCTTGGTCCTGATTGCTAAGAAAAAGCCATTTCCATTTTGCAAAGGAGTAACACACTTCAGTCCGTGAATAGGAGAGATATTTCAGCACAGGAGTGTCTTTTGGACTTTGAAACTTTAATTTCCATAACCACTTCGCTTAGTAGAGGAATAGGAGACTACTTTCAAGGTTTTCCTGTTTATGTCGGAGACTTTCTTCCACTTGCATCAATGGAACCTGCAAATTTTCCTGTTTATCTGAAAGTGAAAGCATTTCCTTTCCAAGTCCCTGCTTCCAGAATAGTTGCCTAGGGAAAGGCAATGCAGCAGCTGTGTTACTGCAGTGCTGTTTACCAGGGTACTAGTGGGTCCCTGGGGTTCAGGTCCTTGCGTATGATGAACAAAGAATTGGATGAGTCACACAAAATATACAAAAGAACAAGCAAGCAAATTTGATTGAGGTGATTGTATATTCTGAGGAGTGGGCTTACATCAGAGAGGAAATTGACACAAGTCCTGAGGGCATGGGTGGAGGTGTCTTTTTTTGTGGTCAAGAGCCCAAGTCCTTCCCAGAGAGCTGTCCCAGGCTGTTTGACAGCTCATGTTGAGTAACATTCTCTGAGTTAACTATTTATGTCCTTACCCATAATTCACACTGTTACAACTGTATCCATGACATCAAGCCCATATGGACCAGTAGGTAATGAATGTGTCCAGACCAAGGGTTTCTTTTGGATACACTGAGGTGTTTCTGCACTTGTTCCAGAGTTGAGGATTTGTCCAAGAACTAATTTATGACCTACTGTTTGCCTGTGGCTATTGTTTGGAAGTTAGAGAGGTGGGTTTCTGGGGAGGAGCTGAACCCCTAACAATTGATGGGGGAGGTGGTCCTTAGCCCATGTTTGATAGGAAAGCCTGTAACTACTATTCTAGCTGGACAGGAGACAGCAGTAGTCATTTTCACATCCTAAACATCTCAGATCTGGGACATAAGTTAATTTTAGTGACCAAAAAAGGAAAGAAACATAGTGTGATGGAAAAAGTCTTACGATTAAAGCCAGGAGACTTGAGTCCCCTAAAAGTTATCTTGCAGGGAGAAAACAGTGTCACCATTATGGTTTTGGGTGTAAGAGGATGTTTTTACACTACTTGTTTTTCACAGGACAACTGGTTGTGAGATGGAAGAGTGCATGTGAAAGGACTTTTAAAATGGCAAGTCTCACAAGTCACAATATTTGGATTTGCGAGGCATTGCCCCTTTGTTCCTTGGTCCCTCCAGAGCATTGCGCCTGCAATTCAGGCACCTGGCACTAGAGGATGGTGCTGTTCATCAGCCTGCCAAACCCAGGTACCCTACCCTGCTTTGCTGCATCTAGCTGAGGTCTCACAGCTGTTGAAGTCTCAATGCCGGGACCCCAGATTTGCCTACAGCCTCTTTGAGAATAAACATGAACTGCATTTGCTCCATATTAGGCACCTGAAATATGGATCTGTTTCTTTTCAGAACTTTCTCCTAAATGTAGTTAAGCAGCCCAAGAAAAAACTCACTGAGTAAGTCACATCATGGCCTATTCTTGACGTCACTCAGATTAACTGATTTTACAAGCTGGTGCCATCCTGCTCTTTCACAAAACCAGATTTTTCTCTCTCTTTCAAGCTTTCTCCCTGTCAACCAAAGAGTCGGCGGCAGTCAGATCCAAAATACAGTGTCACAGGGCTCTGCTTTTTCTACATGACAACATCTGGGTCTCGTTTGATTGATTGTGTGTGTGTGTGTGTGTGTGTGTGTGTGTGTGTGTGGTCCTGGGGATTGAACTCGGGACCTTACATGTGCTAAGCAAGAGCCTTACTGCCAGGCCACGCTCCTAGCCCTGCACCTCATTTTGAAAGAGAAAACTTCTCATGTGTTACAGGCAATAAGCTCTGGAACTCATCCTTCACACATCTGTTTTAATGGCAGGAGACGAGGGGCAACTTTCAACCCCATCACCTGGGTACGGGATTGGGAAAACTGGGAATGCAGCTGCAGTCATGAGGTGAGAGCTCTACGCAGAGACACATGCAAGAGGCTTTCCCACGACTCCTTTCTCTAGCTTTGGTACCAGCGTGGATACTAAGACATTTTAGTAAACGTATACTTATTACTTAAACTTATAATTTAATAAACTATATTAAAAATAATACATCTGTATTGTGCAAATGTTATTTTATAGTTTATGCCATTAAGGCTGTTGATATCTTTTATATCTGCATGATAGGAATATTCTAGAATGATGTGTTCTTGTGTATTTCTTCCCAGCCATGTTGGACATCATGCTGGTGGTTTGAACCTGGCCATGGTGGAAGTATGTATACCACAGAAACAGCAAAGGCTACCAATGAGTGCCATTTTTGTCCCAAGTATCTGAGTGCTAAACATTTTCCTGCATAATCATGAATGAGGCTGCTTAGCGGGGAGCAAGAATCTCACCTAGAAATGGGAAATGTGCAGGGATGAGTAAGGAGGGGAAGGCAGATGTGACTTATTCTTAGTTTGTCCTTGCATCAGGGCCACTGCTTTGCTCTTGGTGGCCACTGACTCAGCGATAAAACCACATATCCCAGTCTCCCTTGAAGCGTGGAATTAAAAACATATGACCCAGCTTTAGCCAATGGAAGTGAAAATATGCTGCAGATTTCAGGAAAGGTTTTGTTTCTTCATGTAGACACCACCCCTTGCTCCTCATTTCTTCCTTCTTCCTCCTGCCTGGAATGGTGGCCAGAGTGGAGACTGGCGCGCTGGCAGGCGCTGGCCGCTGGAGTCTGGCGAGCTCTCTCTCTCTCTGACGAACTCTCTCTGACACGTGGCGTGGGGGAATCTAAATAGCCTAAGCTTAGGGGAGCACCCTAAGGCCATTAGAGATGCACAGGTATCTCATTGGCGCACAGATTCTTAAGGATGGGGATATAGGGTTACAATCAAGTCCATAGGGGGCAGGGGGGGGGAGGAGTTTAGCTGCAGCCTTTTCTGGTTACAGTGTTTCATCTGGGCCGGCAACTCTTTCAGCCAGGAAGGGACCATGAGGATAAGACATGCCCAAGAGTGGCTGGCCAGGCAGGGGGACAGGGGCTCTAGCATGTGGCTGATTATGAAGTGGTAACCACCTTGGTCCACCCACTTCTGAACCTCTTGCTAGGTGAAAATAAACTGTCTGATTAACCTGTTCCACATGCAGCCAGATTCATCCAGGCTCTCACTGAGGTGGAAGACTGAGTGAAGAAGTAATGCTGGGCTGACTTGATGGGAAGAGGCAGGGATTAAAAGGCAGCTAAGAACAGCTCCTCTGTGCTGAGTAAGCAGGTTTGCTGGGGTGCAGGGCTCTCTGATTTGCACCCCCTGAGCTCTTGACTTCTCTCTGCTGAAAATATAGGGCTGTGCCAGGTATGTGGCAACACCATGAGGCAGTTGCCAAGGCAGTGGCAGTTTTGTGTGTCTAGCAGTAGCATTCTATGATTAATTCACAGCAGTGGTGGACCCCATGCAAGCTGGAAGGTAGATTCTGGCTGCAAACTCTTTCTGCCTTTCCCCACAGTAGCCCAGGAAGAGCTTTCAAATCTTATCTCCAATTCTCAGCCCCTGGCCACACTAGCTAAACCCTTTCCAGTCTTCCCCAGGCTCCTTTCTCAGGAAAGGCCTTTTGAATTCAAGTACAGACAACCTTCATGGGGGTGCTGTTAACTACGGTTTTGTGTGTCCTGCTTACCCTCCCTTCCTAAGAAGGAGACTCATCTCCATGGAAACTGCTGCGTCACAGCCACGGCAGAGACCAGGCTACGTCTTCCAGAGCAAGTCTCCTATCAGAGCTCTTCACTGAGGTGTGTCTGGAACTGGCCAGGGGAGGATGGGGAGTCATCAGTGACTTCAAATCTCTCTCTCTCTCCCCCTCATCTCCCTTTCACTGCCCTGTTCTGCTCTCTCGTTCTTTCTGTCCTCTTCTCCCTCTCTTCTTTCTCCTCCCTCTGCACTGGAAACAGAAAGAGGAAGCAATTCTAGTCATACGGAACATTTTTCAGCACTGTATTCCCTCTCTTCTTACCCATGGAAACAGGAGGCAGCTACCACACACACACACACACACACACACACACACACACACACACACACATGCACGCTTACACAAACACACACACAGAGGAAGCAATTCTAGTCATACAGAACATCTTTCAGCACTGTATTCCTGCCCATGGAAACTGGAGACAGCTACCACACACACACACACACACACACACACACACACACACACACACTGTTCCAGAGGTGAGTGGCAGCTCAAAAGGGGCTCAATGGACGGAACACTCAAAATTCCATGTTGTTATGCAGACTCAAGGCTAACTCAGGCTCACCTCCCCCAAAGCCCCGAGTCACTCCAAAAGGGGTTGAGCTAAAGGAGTTGGGGGTGTGGGAAGAACTCTTACTGACATAGGAATCTGAGGCCACACAAAAGAAGGTCTAGTTCTTGGAAAAATTATTATCCTTGTACACTAAAATTCAAGTAATCTTTGCCTTAGAAATGGGTGATCACATAGTTTATCATTCAAATCAGGAGTTATGAAGAAGTTCATATGGGACACTCTCAGCTACGGGGATTATTGGGCCCCCAGGATGTTTGACTGCTATATTTATGGTATAATAAGTGCTTCCCAAACAATGCTGCTGGAAAATAGCTTCCTGTATCCCATTCTTCCCTGAAGATCTCACTGCTCTTGGCACTTGGGGGTTCTTTAATAATGCATGTGCTTAGAAGTAAAGAAGGGATGTCATCACTGAAGAGCTCAGATTTTCCAGCACCTGTCTGCACAGTCACTCACAGCACGTAGCAGAGGTCTAAACACCCCCAGGTAGCTGAAGCACTGCCTGTTTGCCGCACCTTTACCAACTCATTCTCTTAGATCTTGTCAGCCATGTCTCATTACCTGCTGTTACACAACTCCGTCACCCCTGTAACGTGCGGCTTCTGGGATTTACAGCCAGCCTTCTGAGCTGGCTTGCTGACCAGCGCAGCCTGTTTCAATCCCCTCATGCCTCTGCACAAAGAAGCTGCCGGATGACAGATAGAAGCCCCTGATTTCCCTGTAACATGCTATAAAATCCCATAAAGCAAATCCCCCCTCACTACACTTTCTTTTTTAGGAATCCCAGCATAGTATGCTGATCAGTGTTTTCAAGCAATTGTTAATGTCAAAGAATCCCTTTCATTCCTTTCTTGAAATATTTTTCAAAAGCATCAACATAAAGGTTAATTTAGGGGGAAATGGTCTTATGTTGTTAAGTCTTCCTGTTTCTTACTCAAGAAACCGCTTTACCTTTTCATTCATGTAAATGCTCTTTCTGTTTAGGTTTTTTTGTGGGGGAAGGGAGAGGCTTTACTTGTTTTTAAGTACAAAACCTCTGACAGCTCTGGACAATCTGATTTAGGGTCTCTGGATCTTGGGCTGATGACAAGGTTCAGGGAAAGAGGCCCAAGTGCTCAGAAGATAAACTTATCATACACAATCCTGAAATCAGAGGGGAAGTGTTTGCCATAAACTGCAGTATTAATAATTGTGGGTAAAACAATTTCTACAGGTTGCACCAGAATTTGGAACAAATGTGTTGATATGGAAAGACATGGAATAGGAGACAGAGGTTAAAGATCCTCCTCTACCACCATGAACTGAAAAAAAAATTTTTTTGACATAGGATCTTACTATGAAGTTCAGGCTAGCCTTGAACACACTATGTATCCCAGGCTGGCCTTGAACTTGCAGTGATCCTCCTGGCTCAGCCTTGTAAGTGCTGGGATTATAGGTGTGCACTACCATACCTGGCTGAATTGAAAATCTTTACTGGCTTCCCCTCCATCACCTATAATATAGATTTATGAGTCTTTCTACCCAAAATTGTGAGGATCAAATAAAATCATATTATCCGTTTACATCAGAAAATTGTGGAATATATATATATATATATATATATGCTATAAAATGATTTTTTAAAAATGCGATGCTATTACTATAATTTTTCTAATAGAAAATTACACTTTAACTTATGTCTTGTCTAACTGACTAAATGAGTGGGGAACACACAGCTGAACTGAATCAGGAGGGTTCTGGGTATGGAAGGCCCACTTTCGGGAGGATGTTGTAGTAACTGTATAAAAGGAGAACAAGAGGAAAGGAGTTCAGCCAATCTTCCTTGAAGAGCTTCAGTCAGCTTCCTTTTTTGGGAAGCATTTCAGGTGCTTTTCTCTGGAGGCCCTTTGGCTGATTTCTTTCTTCAAGGGAGCCTTAGGCCTCATCTTTGTCTTGGACGTCACCTCCTGGCTTCCAGCACAGGTCCTTCAGCCTTCTGGTACAGACCCTTCAGCTTCCACCACTGGCCCTTGGCCCTTCCTAGAGCAGATCTTTTGATCTCCCGTCGAGGATCCTTCATCCTTCTGATCCAGACTTGCAGGGGACATTGCTATGGGTTCCTGGCCTTCCATGGGGTCCTTTGGGTTTTCACCATGCAGACAGACGTTTTGCACTCTTCTACATCTGATGCTAGTAAACACTGACTAATGCAAGTTATAAGTATCTGACTTGTAGTTTTAGAAATCCAACATGGCCTGGAGTTTGGGGTTCTCATAGTTGGCAAGAATTTATGTATATGTTCCCTCATGTGCTTTAAGAAAGAAGACCAATCATGGCGAAGTGTCTTTAGCAGTCAGCAAATAGAACAGCACTACCTGGGTGGTCAGTTTGGTTTAACATTTCCTGAGAAACTCAAAGGGAAAGGCCATTGGTTCAATGTCATCACAACAGTACATGCATAGGGTGCTTTTTTACTACATGAAGCTCACTAGTGGAAAAAAAGCCCAAATTATCATAAAAAGGGCCTCCTGTCATCTTCCTCCTCCTTACAGACTCACGGGTGGCAGAATGGCACAATAAAGAAATCTCAGAGTTTGACCATCTGTATTCTACCAATTCCTGGGATGTGAAGTTCGTTCCACACTCTTCTGGTGGGAAAAGCGTCTGCTTGCCACACGAAGGGAACATCCAAGTGATCCAAAAAGAATGCTTTCTTAAGAAATGTCCTAAGGCAGAAACACAAAAAAGTCCTAGTGATAGTACTTCACAGCCAATAGGCTGATTAGGGAATAATTCTGTTGAATGTTCTGGAAGTTAAAAGGAGAAGAAAAAGACTCATTTACAGATGAGCTTCAAACATGAGCCATCTCTCACTAAAAGATGAAGAAATCATCTCTTACTTTCCATGCCTTCTCTTGCCTCAGATTATAGAACTGGGGAATTTTTTCAAGATGCCCTTAACGCCGTTCACTACCCCTTCAATCTCTATTGATACTTCCTCCTGCAGTCTTTTAGTTCAAAAATATGGAATTATACTTTATTTCCTTTTTTAAAAGGATCACCTTCACAGCTATAAGTTTGCCCACTTCTTTTGTTTTTACAAGCCCTGACATTATGTATCAAAAACTACAAAATAGTCACATTTTTTGACTTCTTAATCCCACTTTTTGGGACATAGTCCCAGGACTGCAACTCAAAATAGAAGAAAAAAGGGAAGAAAACTACATGTAAAATCTATTTATAGGAAAATATTAGGAAGTGTCCGATGATGGGGTCAAAAAACTAGTGCCAAATTTGAGATAAAATTTACCACAACTTTAAAGGAGAAAAGTGGAGACTTTGTAGAACTATATCCATCTCTTCTCCTTCTTTCTTTTTTCCTTTATTTTCCCTCTTTCTTTTCAGGGCTGTGATTTGAATCCAGAATTTTGTGCCATTTTTTGCCATAAAAATTTTTGTGTGTATAATCAGTGAAAAATGAAGAATACAAAATAGTATAAATATGTATTAAAATTACAGAACAATTATGTCCCTAGGTAGAAATGATCAGGAGAGAGGGGAGAGCTGCCTGCCGCCTACTTTTAGTAACACCATGAAAAAGAAAGACGCTTCCTGTGACTCCCACCAAGCAGCTCGTGCTTACTTCCTACCTTCCAGTCAGTTCCAAAACACTAAGCAACATAGGGGATTTTAAAGATCATATAACATTTTAGAATTTATTTGCTAGAGACTACAAGTCTTTTTTTTTTACAACTTCCTGACTATCGCTCCAACCACCCAAGCCTCACTAGAACAAGTACGCCCTGTGGTTACCTATCAGTGCCACACAGGTGCTATTAAAAGAGGAGCTTTTTACCACTGAAAAAGTGGCACTTTGATTTCCCTGAAGAAAGACCCCACCTCAGGCTTGGAAGTGGCCCTCATTTATATACTTAAAAGTTATTTTACCAAAATGTTCTTTTATTAAAATGTCCTTAACGCTGTTCCAAAAGTTTTGCAAACATAGAGGCTTGAACCACACCACAAATCAAAAACAGAGACAGTCTGTACCAATTTACTGGAGCCGAAACATAGCTTATTGAGTCATAAGCCCAAGTTTTAAAAATATAACTAAACAGTTTTTGTTTGAAACAAAACCTACTTAATAACAAAATGGGAGGCTTTAAAGCATTCCATGAAACAGAGATGCATGGTTCTATTCATGTTCCTACTCTCAGTGTAATTTCTTTCCTAACTACTTTGTAAATTCACATTTATTCTTTTTTTTTTTTTTTTTTTTTTTTGGTACTAGGAATTGAACCGAGAGCTTTGTGCTTGCCAGGCTGGTGCTGTGCTGCTGAGCTACATCCCCAGCCTCGAATTTAGCCTGATACAGTTTAGGAAACAAATATAGTACTTACTACATACTAGATAATAAATACTGCATGAGTAAAATTATGTAATATCCAAATAATCTTAATATGTAGGTAGCATCATCATGTCCATGTTTCAGATGTGTAAACAGAGGCCAGAGAGGTCACATGACTGGTAAGAGCTAAGCCAGGCACCAACCCAGATCATCTAGTTGTTGAGTATGTGTTCTAATCACCATGTAGTAAAGTCACCTGTGTCATACCTGTGTTCTTAGCTTTAAGCTCATAGTGTCCTGGCCCAAGCATTCAGGGAAAAGATCCTTAAAATGTGAGTGGCAGTGCTGGGCAGGGAGTATACAAGCTAAAGAGCCACAGACACCACAGCTGGACCAATCTGGTTCAGACTTTTAAACCTGCTGAGAGCTCAGTTTCCTTGTTCACAGGCAAAACGCTAGCCCCGCTGGGCCACAGGCGTGCCTTGAAGACAAACGCTACCAGAGCAGTTACTGCGGTGTAAATTCTGCATACGCCAGACATTGGTTTTTCTCAAAGTTAAAATTTTCAAACATCTGAACGTCAATGGAAAAGTATCACCTACTTTTGTAGCCTTCTTAGAAAGACTTTGAAGTTGTTCTGCATGACTCAGATTCTCTTGTATATAAAGAGCTCTTTGCCTTGCATGAAAGACCCTGGTCCTTTGTCTGGCGCTTTGTTTTCCTCGTTGCCGGTGGCTTGCAGGGGGAGGATAGATAGACATGGAAGTGCCGCAGCAGGGAGCTACTGTTCCTATCTACCCACTCTTCCCTTGCCAATTTCCCTACTTTATAGCTGCTACCTCTAATTTACTGTGGACTGGGAAATACACAAACTTGTCAGGATTATGCCTAAAATAAGACATACAGTCATTCTAAGGCGAGGACTATATCCTCTTCCTCCTGATTAAAACTCATGAGTGTCACCGGCTAAACTCATTTGACTGTTCTGAGATTTCTGCTGGTGAACTGCCCTGGCCAAAAGAGTTCCAGGTAAGGGAAATAAACTGCGGGCCAGCTCTCAGTTTATACTGTCTTTGCAAAGTTATTTTAAAAGTCAGGGTCAACTTCTGTGTTAGCCTATTTTATGCTGCTATAGCAAAAGAACAGAGGCTGTGATATATAAAGAGAAGAGACTTGCTGAGCTCACAGTTCGACATCTGTACATCTGCCTGCTACAGCATGGCCAGTGTGTCATGGCAGGAGCCCCCTGGAAGAGTGACAGCGCCTGGCAAGGAAGAGTCAGGGAAGGTGCTAGCTTCTGTCGTGACAGCCTGCGCTCAAGCGCGCTAATGGGGATGCACGGAGCTGTGTCTCTTCTTTCTGGTGTCAGGGCCCCCAAGTGTCCCCTCAACATTGCTACATTGAGGACCAAGCTTCCAGCACATGGGACTTGGGCTTCACCTGCCAAGCATCAGTGAAACACAGCATCCAGACCCGTCTACTCCCTGGGTTGTGAACTTGAAGTGTGTTTATAGCTGTCAATTCTGAGGAAAAGAATTCCTCTACTTTTCCTTAAAAATTTCCCATAATATGCAGATAAAAAACAATTGGTATATAAGAATGAAATTCTTTAATCAGGTTCAAAACCTAAAGGAACTAAAATTAATAGCACAATACTATGTAAACAATGCTTATATATACTATCCACCATATGTGTATATATTGTATATGTATAGTTTACATGCACAAAGCACATGTGTGTATTCATATGCATGATATGTAACACAATAAATATGAGGAATCATATAGGCCATACTTCTTACTAAGATGTAAATGATTGATATACAACTCAGGAACCACTGCCTGTAGACGAGAAGGGAAGAACAGGGATGTGATGCTGGTGCACACCTGAGTGCCAGCACCCTGGAAGGCTGAGGCAGGAGTATCACATGTACAAGCTCAGCCAGGGTTACTAAGGGACTTAAGGAGACATTTCATGCATACACACACACACACACATGCACACACTAAAAAAGTAAAAATAAAAGGACTGGAAGATGTAGCGCCATGCTGAGGCCCTGAGTTCAATTCTCAGGAGTGAAGAGAGAGAGACAGAGCCCGAGAAAGTAGGGACTTCATGAAAAGATTATGAGTCTGTTGGGGTGGGATTGGCTGGTCAGTGAAGCGAAGGGGAAAATCAGAAACCAGTGGGGGAAACCCAGAGTAAATCATGCACTGCTGCCTGTGACTGGGAGCCCGGGAGGCAGAGCTGTGAGCTCTGAACACCCATGGAGGACATCAGCAGGGTCCCCCTGCGTGGTGCCACTTTTCATGGGGAAGTAGAGACCTGGGTTTGCTGGGACAGGATGTGGTGGCAGGTGTCTGAACTCCTGTCTACCCAGCCTAAGGCCTATGGCGTCTCACTGGGAATCCCTTGGAATGAGGATGCTCTACCCGATCCCGTAAACTGCAGCACTTGGTTTTTAATTAATGAGAGAGGATGCATTTCTTCATTACATACGAAGTAAAAAATTGATTTATGTCTCCTGCACACTTGTAAGGATGACTTCATTTCATGGAGCTGCAGAGGCTTGAGGAGGGGTCTTCGCAAGGCCCATCTGGCCCAGCTCCTGTTTCACACGGATCACTTCCCACTCATGACTGAAATGCTAATTGTGAACGCTACTTCCAAACACCATAGGATGTTGCATAACTACACTGTTCCTAGAATTCCGAACAGGGGTCTGTTTTGAATTTGATGAAACATAATGAGAAATCTCTGTGGCAGACAACAACATTCTTCTTTCAATTAATGGGATACTTGCCCGACTTATCCCCCACAGCATTAGACACTGATTACAGAGATTTATGGCTTCTGAAAACACCCAAAACAAATATTCTTCCACTCGAAAATATAGTAAAACTATCTTCTTTGAGGACAGCTGGGAGATTATTTATTTAAATGAAAAATGGGTGGAGAGAACATTTCACTAGAAAAATTTCCACCCAAATCTGAAGGTTAAATTGTGCCAGTGCAAATCTTGGACCATTTAATGGTGTATTTCATTCATTCCTTGCCTCTTTCTCTCATTCATTCATAAATTCATCCAACAGATACATACAGACATGATTAGAAGACAGGTGTTGGCTTTGGCAACAACAAAGCAGAAAGGGAAGTTTCTCGTAAGAGGCTTGTGAATGCCGGAAGAAGAATGGATGTGGGGTGAGAAGTCCTTACTTCAAGTTCAAGGTAACGGTGTGACTTGGGGCAAATTATTTAAGCAACCTTGAGCCTCAGAGCCCTCCAAATGAGGCTAAGTAATGCCTGCCTTAAACCACAAGGAGTTGCTTTAAGAAAAATAAAGCATGCGAAATGTGACCCTAAAGTGCTACATAAGCGTAAAAGGCTATTAAAATACTTACTGTCTAAGAGAGGAGATTTAAAGCACACAAAAATACCTATTGCATAAGGCAAAAAGCCAATGTTATTTTAATACAGGTACAAATTTACTCATCGGTTCCAAATGTCTATTGAGCCCTAAAAGGGCCCAGATACAGTGCTAAATGAAATGCAAAGGAATCCAGAAAACGGAGAATTATATGCTTACTCTTGAATGGTCTCCAATAAAATTATTCCCCAAATCATGTAATATTCCCACAGCCATTAGTATGGTTCTCATTTCTTCTAACTGTTGTAAAACTTGTGCAGTTTTGTCTCCTTTCATGACAAGATCTGCCATTGCTCTGAAAATAGTTCCCTCCCTGCCTCTCCAAATCCTTCCTGTCCCTTTTCTCACTTGAAGGTGACAAGGTGAGAGAGAATGAAGTCTTTGGAGAACACCAACCTGCCTTGGCCAGTGTGGGTGACCCAGGAAAGTTACTCGACATTGCTGAATGTTGGTGACTCTGGATAGGGAGGGAAATGACACCGGCCATACAATGTCCTTGTCCTTGTGTAAAGCTGTGGCATACTGAACAGTCTCTGGCAAATGCAGCCCTCATTATCGTAACAAAGGCCATTTTAATCCATCTGCCCGCTTCATCCAGTCACATAATGATAGGTTTTGAGAGAGGATTTGATTCAACTGAGTCATATTTTCTTTTCTCGCTTATTGATTTGAGAGAAGAAAAGCGAGCATGCTTAAAATGTGTTCAGTAGCCTTCAAGCTGGGTATTCAGAAGATACAGATATGAAAGAACAGAGCATGGCAGGCATATGGCTTGCCATTGCCTCTGTGGTTTTAGATTCTATAACAAGAATCCTCCTTCTTTCAAGGGTTACAGCCCTTCCAAGGCAGGGGTGCACCCTTTTGGTTGGCTACTCTAGTTTTAATAAGTCAATTTAATTTTCTTGAAGGTAGTAAAATACAACAGAACAAGACAGAACAAAGCCAATCGAGACAATGCAGTGAAATTGGTACAGAACTTCAGAGCAGGATACCAGGATAACAGTAACAGGTACCATAGTATAGCTTGTTATCTTCACAATAGTTGTCCATTCAATCAGATATAGCAAAATCAAACCAAATACAGAAAATTATAAAACTTATCAAAACAGAATATTGCATAGACCAAAACAATCAGAACAAAGCAAAACAGTGAAAACATGTGCCTTCAAAGAGAAGACAGAAGGAAATCCCCCATATTTTCTATATTACATATGATCCTCCTCCCAAAAGATGCTCAGACCTCTGACCCCCAGTTGCTAACAGGGGTTGGGCGGGATGGGATGTCTGATTCTCGGCCGGATCACCAGTAGGCTCATGGGAGACGCTGACTGGTTCTCTTCCTGGCTCACCCACCACTCCCTCGTGCTGCGGTTGTTTACCAGGAAGGAGGACACATTGCTTTTTTGCTCAGTGCCCTAAGTTCCAACATAGCTGGATCTCTGGAGATGCTGACTGGTTTTCTTCCTGGCTTACCCACCGTTCACTCCTAATAACTCAATTTACACTTGCATCGTATTTTTAAGCACATGGTGGGTGCTACATTGGAAAAAAAGGCAAAATACTTTGATTTACTTGACCCAAAATTTGCCTTTCCCTGGGTAGCTCAAATACATGTTTCAGTCGTCACAGTGTTAGAGGTAGCCACTTTATATTCTACAAAGAATAAAGACAAATATAGGTCTGCAAGACTAATACTGCAAGAAAAGTGAGCCTCAGACTGGGGCAGCTGCAGGTGTAGATCTTAGCTAGGACTAAGTCACATTTTTGACCAGCTGCCCTGGTGAAGCCGATGTTCAATTGCTCTCACAAAAGCACTCAGGGATGTGCTGAGGTAGTGACCAGGTATTTGTATCTCCTGGGGTATATGGCCAGATCCTCAGAGTATGGAGTGGAACCAAGAAGGCAAGTAGCAACCCAACTATCTTCAAGTCTGGGCACCAATATCAGCACTTGAGCATTCAGAGGCTAGGGAGGTTTGACCCTTAGAGAAGACAGAATGCTTAACTGAATTGTCTTGAGAGTTTTTGTGGCACTTTCCTCCAGCAAGGAACTTGTATGCTTGCCCATGTCTGCCGGTACCTTTTCATCAAACCACCATTTCCTTTATAGCGTGACTCATTGTGTGGAAGTACATTTGTGTGATACATTTCTGGAAGCAGAACTAGGACTCAAAACTACAACTCTGGGGGCTGGGGATTTAGCTCAGCGGCATAAACGCCTGCCTTGCAAGCAGGCAGTCATGAGTGCGATCCCTGGTACCGATAAAAATGAAAAAGACAAAAAAAAAAAAAAAAAACCCTACAACTCTGTTTTCTAATAGACAGGTGGAAAAAGGTCTCCAAAATGAAAACTCCTATTCAGTATTGGGAAAGGAATTCCCAAAACACGATGTACAGACCTCTGATCTGGAGACCACAACATTGCTGCTAGACATGGATGCTAGGAAAAAGGATTGAACAAGCAAATGCAGTAGCATCCATCTATTTACTCACCTTTCAGGCAATGGGATAAATGCCTTCAACAAGCAATCTGTCTGTCCAGTTTATTACCCCTGACCTTTGAAATCTCACGTTCAGAATTTTACCTTTTCTCTTTCTTCTTGTGGTCAAGCAGCCCTGGACTTCAATTGGTATTTATTGCTACACTCGAACCAAGATCTCAAGAAATAGCTAATGTGCTCGTGTATCCTCACACTTGACCACAAAAATGCTACAGAGCCTCATCCTGAGTGGACATATGCACAAGTTCCAGGAGGCAAGATCTGTGACTCTGCAAACCTTGTCACTACTGCACAATATGGGTGAGTGGTGACCTTCCTTCACCCAATCTTGTTTATCTTCAGGATTGTCTTTTCTGGCCTCTCTAATTTCAAGTAAATTCTAAAATCACAATTTCATTAGACTCACATTGAGTCTATGGGTTAATTTGGGTAGAATCATTTATTAACATTATGAAGCCTTCTGATATCCCCACATCTCTTTAGAAATTAAAGACATGTCTGACTCACATTTAAAAGTTAAATGTCTTTGACAAATTTTTCAGGTAAGTTACATATTTTTCCATAAAATTCTTGTACCTTTTCAATCATATATATGTATATTATGTGTGTGTGTGTGTGTGTGTGTGTGTGTGTGTGTAACTTTTACAGATAGATAGTTTTTTTCCCTGTTATTCCCAAATTCACACCTAAGCTAGCACCATCTCCTGTTATAAGTACCATAATGCTTACACAGGTAATCAAAATCACATTATAGGTCACACTTAAAGAATAGGGAATGTATGAGAGCGCTAAGAATTTGGGTCATTCTTTTGAGAGCATTTACTGTTTTCTTTATCCACTCAGCCTCCTTTTCTCCCATAATCAAATTTCGTATTTTCAGCTGTTTTCAAACTCTGCTTTATCTTACAATGTATCAGATTGGTTCATTAATTCTGTGAACATTTGCTAAATTTTGTTCATTTACAGAACTGCATTTTGGCATCTGAAACTGGAAACTAGAAATTCTTGGTGTTTTTCATGGTGAAACTCTTGTGATTCCTAACATGGACACTTTCTCCCTCTGTCCTACCACCAAAGGCACAATGACCAAAATGCCTTCTGTTGTCCTGGTCAGAGGGAATGAGAGGTTCCCATGCCAAGAAGCTTTGTGTGTTTGCGTTATTGTGCACTGACAAGTGCAGTGGATGGATGAGGAAATCCAAAACATTTCCAGTATGGGCATCAGCAGCTGGTTTGTACAGAAAAGTAAAAACCCTATAAGTTGCTATTGCCACCTCAAGGAGAAACAGGTTATTGAAGCAAGCCATGTCTCATAAAATATCAGCTCAAGGGCTCAGGGAAAGGAGCACGGTGATGGGAGTATGGTTGTCAAGGCTGCGTGTGACTAAGTCTGGTTGCCATCAAGAGTAGGAGTGAGGACATTTGCTGTCCCATTGGCCTGGATGAGGCTGACACCAGCTCTTATGACCAAGTGTGGGAGACAGCCAGAGCAGCAGTGTGGGTCAGGCCCTGCACCAGCTGAGCATTTCCCCCTCATTGAACACATCAGGCTTCGTGGCCCAGTGCCCTCAAAACTCTCTTCCAAGCCTCAGTGCATGGCCTCTGATTTTTCCTCCCATGTTTCTAGACTTTTCTTCTCCTCTCACCTGCTGCTAAATGAAGTGATCCTAGATCTTTTTCCTTGCAATCTCAGCTCTCTCTTCTATATTGATCCAAATAAATTCATCCTTGCTAATGTATCATGGTTCTGGAGGCCTCATTCATTTATCTGTCACCATTTATTGATGAGCTCATATGAGCAGCTTTGTATTAGGCTCTGGACATAGAACGATAAAAGACATAACTTCTGCCTTCAAAAATCTCACAGACCAGTGAGGAAAACAGACAAATAAGTGGCTAACTTATGTTCACTTCAGTTCTATGCCACAAACATTCACATTTTTTTTTCACTGTAGCATGTGCATTTATTTATACCCTCCTGAGAAGTACAATGTCAACCTCAACCCCGCTTGTAGCGACTTGTTTGCCTGGCTGGCCTGGGCCCCTTGTCTCTTTTGGGCTGGAACAGCTTGTTTAGGTGGCTTGTTTTGGGCTTTCTGTGTTTTCTGGGCAGGCAGGCAGGCAGACAGGCAGGCAGGCAAGCAGGCCAATACCTACCATTCTAAGAGATATTTTAATAGGCTATTTTAACTCAAATGCTGACCTTCATTGAGATTTCAGGCAAGATGAATACTAAGTAAAAAATGTACATAAAATGCATTGTAAACTACAAATATTTACCATCGTTATGGGGTACATAAGTTGACCAAGTTATGCTATTTCTATTGATTCATGCCCTCAGCTCCCTTGGACAAAGGGAGTGACAGATGGGAAACACCATTTCATCTGGGCCTCCAGGCAGCATCTCTCTGTGAATGAATGACTGTTTCTCTTCAAACAGTGCTATGTTTTTCTGGATCTGCAGCAGTATTGGCTGGTGATGATAGATGAAAAGAATGCCTGTTAAGTAGCCAACAAGGAGTTAATTACTGCTGTCCATTGTGTCTATTGCTCTTGCCTATGACAGCAGAGAAACATTCCTAGCAGACTCACCTTCAGCTGGTGAATGAATGGAAGCAAGAAGATGGGTAAGAAGGTGCTCATCTGTCCATCAGAGCAAGCTGTAGAGAGCAACATGTTAATACTTTTTCATGACTTCTTGCAGAAGTCGAGGGCAGGGCTGCCCTTGGTGGATTTAAAGAGACTAGGAAGAGAAATAATTTTGGAAAATATTGATCCAAACAAAATTCAGGACCACAAGTTCAATTACTATCCTCTGATACTCAGCAGGAAAACTTCCAAATCATGGCAGAGAAGAATTTGGTCTGATAAGTATAAGAGCATTCACCCAAGTTAATGGAACTTGGAATTATGGAGACAGTTGGAGATTGCTTTGCACTAAAGAATTTCTTTGTGACAATTATTCTGCTGGCTTTTCTGAAAATGTCTAGCAAGTGGATGTCTGAACGCTCTGGACTTAGATAAAAGTTACAACCTCTAGCTTTTCTATATTCAGTGGAGGATTCTGTATACTTTATTTTTTTACTGGAGGCATTTTATTTACCATTTTCTGAATCCTTCTCTTCCGCTTTGAATCATCATGAGGAAGACATCAGAATAAAATCAGAATAAAACTTGCACAAAGAAAATGTTTACGAAAGGTAGAGGGGAATGGAGGAGTAGGCAGAGACTTGATTCCTATATAAGGAAGAGAACTGGGGGGAAAACCAGAAAAAAAGGAAAGAAAAATAATTGGGTAGGAGATTCAGATTGCAGTGAAACCATGTTTGTCTCAAGTAACCACTATAGAGCCCCACAGCAAAAATTTCCCACTGGGTGCTTGGTTGGTCAGATGGGTCCCTGCTTTGGGACCCTGCCACACTTAGCCAGTGAGTAGGAATAAGCCTTGGAGGGCAAGTGCCCAGAACAAGTGCTCTTAGACACAAAGGTGCACAGCTGGAGGTGGCTCCTGGTTTACTCCCTTCCCAGTAGCTTCTCTTGGAGAAAATTCTAACTGGAACACCTCCTTGCCTACCACATCTACCACATCCACTCCTGGTGCCATGCGGATCCGTTTCTCCACATGCACTGGGTGGGCAGCTCCCCTCCATTTCCTGTGCGTTCTCATCTCTGCAATCAGCTACTGTTTCCATCCTCCATTATCCATTCTAACTTCTACTCACTCTGTGTCACCTCGCAAACCTTGATGACTTACTCAGGGGTTTGACTCTAAACTTTTATTTTTGCATGGCCTGAGCCTCCCACACAACTGGGAAAAGAACACTCAAAGAGGTCCAATTGGCTTCACTGAGTTTCACCCCTATTCCTCCATCACCATCATGCAAAAGTCATCTCTTGTCCTCCTGATGATCAGGCACAATGGTTCTTGCCAAAATTATGGCACCTGTTCTCATCTGCTGGTCTTAGACACAGGAGTTCAAAGCAAACAGGTGGCAATCAAAAATGGTAGTTTCACAGGATGTGTAACATACCCTCCTCCCCTTTTTTTGGTACCAGGGATCAAACTCATGACTTTGTGTTTGCCAAGCAGGCACTTACACCACTGAGCTAAACACCCAGCCAACATACCCCCTTTAAAAAACAAAAAGAAAACATAAAACAAGAGCGTACCCTCTTTGGAGACTAGAACCTTAAACCCTGTGAAAGCCCAAATCGCAAGACCTACTGTGGGTATTTGGGAGTGATAGCAAGAGGAGTCGGTCTTACTTTCAGTCTCTGGTTCCTGAATAGTTCAGATCTACTCAGACTGTGTTATGACAGTGAGTAATATAGTAAGCAGAGTTCTGGAGCAAAGGAGATATTCTTGTGTATTCTATGTAAATGCAAACTGTCTCTCTCATTTGTGCAAGGAATAGAAAAGAATTTTAAATCAATAGTCATACATCCCTGAGAGTTTATTAACCTCTATAGCAAAATACCATGTTCAAACCTTTAATGTCATTGTGTCACAGGCAGCTGAGTTAGACAGAAATACTATAGGCAGACAGGGCTAGACCCTCAAAGGAGCCAGTGCAGAAGGCCAGATACCTTGCAACTATGAGGGAGACAGACACCTCCTGCTGTGGGCCAGGCCTCAAGACAGAAAATCAAACAAATGCATCCATATCCTCAGGACTGATATTTTAAGTAGGTCTCTGTCGCCCTGAGGAAGTCAGGGGTCACCATCCCAACCCCTTACTGAAGAGTCATTGCTCTGTATGCATGCCCGTTTGCTACGTGACTCACTTCCTCATTTGTCCCCAATTTAATCAATTTTACCTGAACAGTTAATCCTATTGGTTGACCAGTTCTGCCCCACCTTATGCCCACCTTGCAAGTGTCCAGTTTTCCCCGCCTTGGACCAGTCTCACTTCATGATTTTGCTCTATAAAAGTTCCCAACAAGACAGAGTGTTTGGCAACCCGCTTAGGACCCCTTATGTCTCTCTGACAGAAACTTTCTTTTTCTAAATAAATACATTCTTATCCTAACCTCCATTGTTCCTAAAATTCATTCTTCGATTTTAGAGAACACAAATTCATCCCGGATATACAGTAGGTTGGCAGTTTCTTTCCGCTATATCAACTGGGGCTCCTGCTTCATTTAGTTTGTGGTGGTTGACAGCCATTCTCTATGACCCATCCTGTGTTCTCAGGGGCCAGACTGTTGGATTAGATGGAAACATTAAAAGAATGATCATCTTCATATCCTTTAGCTCTCAAATGGTAGCACCAAAGTCTACTACCAATACCTCTCCTACC